CAGCTCTGACTGTTCTATGAAAGCTTGATAAAGCAAGCAGCCTCGGTGCTCAAAGCAAGCAGCATTTCCTGCGCCACAGATCGACACCTCAGGGTTAGACGGTATTAGAGTGGGATGAGGTGGGAACGGCTCCAGGTGTTCTTTAGTGATAATGTGAGATGAGCCAAATCATTGGGAATCTCTATTGCACAAGCGGGAGTTTATGTGAGAGCAGATTGGTCAGAAAAGGAGAACTGGTTGGTGTAGCAGTTCCCTTCCATCATGTAACTGATACAGAAGCAAGTTAGTGGAACCAACTATTGTACTGCTGCATGAGATTCTTCCACAGGAAACCCTGGTGATTCGCAGAATAGCTAGTCACAAGTCCACGTATGTGTGGGCATCTCCCAGCCTGGCCTGGGAGGATCGCCCCATGGCTGTCCCCCTGCTGCCAGCCGCTGTGGTGAGGTCGGGAGCTGCAGGGAGCCCACTGCAGGGATCGGGAGCTACGTCCTCCAATATTCATGAATTTCGCCATTCACAGTGATGCCAGGAGCACATCCACCATGAAGGGTGAGGGTTTCCTATATTTTAACATCCCTGCTTATATATAGCAAGGAAATAAGAGCCAAATGATTGTGAATCCCAAGGCCCAAAATCCATAGGACACCTTTCAGCAGCCTTGGCAGTTAGAGGCATTACGGATAAGGGAGCAAAGAGAGAAACAGTTACGTTTCCTTTTGAAGCACTTTAGATGAGAGGCTCTGAAAGAGAAGAGAGTTGGGGAAACACTGATCTGTTCAGGAATATCATCGCCTAAGATGCTTACAAAATGCCATTGTTTTTCTTTGCAATTGGTCTGCTCTTACATTTCCCCAGGACTGAGTAACTTCCCAGACACACGTCTCCCCTTGTGTGACCCATTGTGTCTAATGTGTACACTGCTGTGTAAGATGGGAAAGGGAACCAAAGGCCACTGCAGCATCTGGGAACTCACATGGCTGAGGATGTTCTGGTGCAGAACTGTGCCGTGGATGTTGGAGCTCTCTGTGTTCCAGAGCCGGATGGTGTTGTCAGAAGAGCAGGTGAAGAACGAGGTTGGGGGCAGGCATGACTGGTTGCTATCCTTCACTTCAGGATACACCTAGACACACGCAGCAAACAATCCACAAGTGAAACTGGTATTCTAGTTACCAGCTACAAGTTCCAAAACATGGCCAAACCAGAAAGCTACCCCTTTGCAACAAATAGGTAAAAGAGGACAGCAGGAACTCAGCCTACCTAGAATCAATTCACTTGCAGACTGGCCAGCACATCACAGTTTCAGGTTCATTTCAAACAAACAAATGCTGAGTGGAGTTACCTGGACACACCTTGGTGTGAACAAGACCCTCTGGGTTTTTTCTAGCATAATCGGGGGGAGGAAGAGACAGAAGCCCTCATCACTTAACCAAGTTCAAACACAGCGCATAAGAGGGGACTCAGGCAGTTAATACCTGGAATATGGCTGGAGTTACTAAAGATTCAATCCATGAGGAGAGGTTAGAAGTAAGATGCATAACAATGCAGAGGAAAAGCCCCTGCCTGTTCCTTTTTCATATCCTCTTCCCTCTATTTCTGAGCTGACATGAGACCTGTGCACTTGCATGATGTAAGTAACTCCATGGAGTTACTCCCCTTCACACACACACAACACCCTCCCCCCCCCCCCCAACATATTTCCTTACTGGGAAATACAGGCAGACCCCTCGCCCCCGTACATGGGCACCATTCCTAGCCCATCATTACCTCAACACTCCACACGCAGGAGGAGTGGTATAAAGCTGAGTAAACCTTGCCCACTTTCTTCGGGTCCTTGACATCCCACACATACAGGCTGTGGTCATTGTATACGCATGATAGCCACTGGTTGGTAGGGTCAAAGGTCAAGGCAATTGTATCTGGATACTTGGCATCCGCCACACCAGAGAAGAGACGGCTGTGCAGAGAAAAGACAACAGTCTGGTTAATTTCTGTAGCACTGAGGCGAGTGTGTGGGCACAGGACTTGAAGCTAAAAACCTCTAGGCCAGAAGAGTTTGGTGCTACCCGGGGAAAGACATATACATTGGTGTGAGGTAGAGCGAGTAGTTGGGGAGGTGAAAACTATGGATGGGGTGGAGAATGGGTCTATCATGTCAGTATAGCAGCCTCTTTCCACACTGCAAAATAAAAGTCCCAAGATGGGCCTGCACTTCTGAAGGTGGAGGGGCCAGAAGGACTGACTGCCCAGGCTTGGTTTCTGTTACTTCACTCTCCAGCTACTCCATTCACAGCTCAATGCAGACTCTCGCTGTGCAGCATGCTGAGGAGTAAACAAGACACGGGAGCCCTCAGGTCTTTGGACTCCTCGTGCTCACACCTGGGAGCAAGGAAGGGAGAGAACGGTGTGGCTGTCAGTGAGAGATCTCAGGCACATGCAGCGGGAGTAAGAGGTGGCAGTGTAGGCAGCAAGAACTCCTACTTGTATTCTACTCTTCCAGCTACTGGAGGGAAAAATAAAAGCAGAAATTAAATAGAGGAAGATCCCAGATGGGGGAGTCCTGGTACATCTCACTGCTGTGCAAAACAATCAGAGCATATAGGACCTGAGAGATTTCCTGTTTCAGGAATGTTCTGAAAAAGCCTTCCCATAGGAGGAGCGGGGCAAACAACCTCACTAGTTTTAAAATGGCGATTTGTAAGTTTATGAACAGGGTCCTTCGTCCGGATTTCAGCAGAAGACTGAATCTGAGGACCCAGGAGGTCCCTTCCAGTACTATGTATTCACATTTCTACGACTCGAGAAATGTTGTGGGACTCGAGTTAGAGGGTTACGGTGCCAGCTAAAGAGGAGAGAACCTCAGATGGTTGACTCAGACAAGGTGCCAGTGGTTTGGTTATTTTTTACATGTCTCTTTGCTCTGCCAGCTCAGGCTGGAAGGCACATGAAAACCAGGCTCACTTCAATTCTCCAGGCCTGAAGTTAGGAAAAATTATTTTTAAAAAAAGATTGTGAACATTGCAAAACCTGGACTAAAGGCTCAGCTCAGTTGCAGTTCTAAAACCCAGGTGAGGATACAATTAAGCTCCACTAGCCTAGATCTCATTAAAAACCAGAGCAGATTTAAGGCGGGAGGGTCCCTTTAAATGCACTAATAATCATGCTGTGGTTAGAGCAGCAGAAAGGGAGTTCAGTGAACCAGGTTTTCTTCTCAAAACAACCCCTATTGCTATCTGGCCTAGGGCAAGACACTTCCCCCATCTGTTCCTCATCTTCCCCATCTGTAAAATGCAGCTCACACTGCTCTCCTAGAGCTGTTGGGAAGACCGTTTGCATGGTGTAGGGAGGCTGCAGACATCTTTACAAAGCGGGCACACTCTGTCCTACCTTTACACATGGAGAGGTGAGGCACAGACAAATTGAAGTGATTGAACCATGATCAAGAGTCACTGACAGAGTCCAGGTTCTTTGACAAACCACATGATCATTCTGTCGGTCCAAAATATGCCCTGCAAAGCCTTACAATGCTCTTGGGAGCCACCATAAGAAAAGATGCTGAAAGCTCAAGTCAGAAAGCAGCTGGTGTCCGAACACCCACTGTCTGCTAGAACAGCATGCTTGGGCAGAAGAGACAACATAGGACCCTATGGGAGTGCAAGAACAGCGTAGCACTGGGAAAGGGTCAGCTTTCCCTTGCAAAGCATGATTGGGTCAAGAACCTCAACACAGAGAGACATGTGTCCCTGCTGGACCAGCCAGAAACTAGTATTACTGAGAGCCTGCGAGACAGAACACAACTGTGCCAGAGGGGAAATGGCACAACTGGGTGAGGGAAAAAAAAATCCACGTCAAACAATAACCCTAAAATAAAGTGGGGCTCCCTAGAGCAATGCTCAGTCATTCACAGATATCCCCAAATACAGAAACATATCTGCTCCCACACCACGGGGGAGTGGATGAGCCAAGAAACACACTGCAATTAAAGGCACACACCATCACCACAAGGGAACAATGCATTCCAACATCTACATGGCCAATAAGAAAGAACCCCTCCCACTGCAGTTCAAAGCAGCTCATTAGACAGCCATCTGCTGACATGCCTAATCCATCTGGAAAAGAAAAGTGCATGGATTATGGAAACATCCCTTCTCTGGGTAGATGTGGGTCACACAGCTGTGATTAATACCACATCTTCCTCTACATTCCCACTACAGCCCCAGGAAAATGGAATCCACTTCTTTGAACAAAGGGTGAGAATATACTTCTGGCTATAGCCTAACCAGGCTAGCTTGTCCTCCCCTTCTGTGCTGTTATCTCTAGATAGCAACAGCTACAGAATTAGAGGACCTAGATCAACCTATAAAGGGACGGGCTGAAGGCTTTGGAGGAGAAAAGCCAAAGAGAATGGGATAATTTACAAGCAGAATCCCTAGTTTTGCTAGTGCAAACCACAGTGCAATCTTGAAAAGCCGGAGAATAGAAGAGCACAATCCAGAATCTATTGAAAGCCAAGTTACTAATGCGGCTGTGAGAACGTTAAGTGCTTGAGAATGGCATCCCACCAAGAGGCTGTGGTATGCACTGGTATAATAAGGATTCCTGTGTTTTCCAATTTCCTTTATAAAATAAAAAAACCAACAACTATTGTGATTGTGATCAGCCCAACGAACGCTTGCTCGGGAGTCAGATAATTGTCTCTGCTTCAGAAGACTGACATGAAACTAACAGAGGCTGTTTGTAAAGGGCCAGTACATTGGATTTCTTGATCCAATGCTACCAAAACATGTAGCTTTTTAAACCTGGAGGAAATCTATTCCCAGTCCCAATCCTGAGTTATCAGCTTGCTCCCATCTAACCTTTGGGCAACAGATATCAAGTCATTATTTGAACTGATCACTCATCATTCCTAAGAAGCATTTGCACACCAAGACTAGCGAGAGGCTGGGGGAAAATTCAGTTACTCTGTGCAGATATGGGAATTAAAGAAGCCAACTGAGATGCATGGTGTGTTTATCTGCACCCAGCATGCTTTCCCAGCTGATGTGTGTTTCGTGGTAGTGCTGTAAGCGAGCAACAGAAGATCTGTTTGTGCTCATGCATTCCCAAGCAGGGAGGAGTGAAGGGCTCTCACCAATTTCAGCCTCCACAGATTGAGTGACAACCATGCATCAAATAATCTATCTAGGAAGGCTCCACTCGAAGGCCAACATCTGCATTTCAGAAAGTGACACTGCTTTTATCAGGGAGATGGGGGAGCACTAGGGATAGGAGAAGGCAAAATGCACAAGACAAGGAAAGAAAGACTAGGGAGCAGGCAGGAGGTTTGAGTGCCCATGGAGAGATGTGGAAAGCTACAAGATGGAGCCAAACATCCCAGGAGGGCCTATGTGTCTCTTATCAGTGTCACTTTATAGTGAAGAAGGAAGGCTGCTAGTAGAAGGCTGCTTGGTGCGCAAGGCAAGGGCAGGGTCACAAATCACACATCATTGCACTTGCTCTCCCCATCCACACTCCCCCCTTTCCTACGGTACCTGGCTTCAGTGACGCTGGCAATGTCCATTCCCAGGAAGTGTGGCTTCGGCAACGTAGTGACAAAGTGCAGGTTCAAAGGGTTAAAAATCCGCACCGTACCATCAGCGCAACCACAGAAGATGTAGTCGTGGTTCACAGAGATGCAGTTCGCCACAGTTGTCTGAGAAGATGACAAAAATCAACCCGGATGAGTGGGTGGGTCTCGCTCTCAAAACTGCCATGTAAATAACAGCACGCAATGCACTTGAAACCAGCAAGGACCGAAGTGAAGTGAAATGAAATGAGGCCAGTTTAAGGAAAAGCCTGATAGCTGGATTTTCTTGCTGAGGTGCACCCAAGCCAAGGTCTGCTGCAGGGTCCACTCAGTGAGTCAGAAAACCGTGACAAGGGCCCACTCCGCTCGCTGATGTAAACACATGCAGCTCAACAGACCTCAGAGGAGCTATATGGATCTACACCAGCTGGAAATCTGGCCCTGTAGGGGACTCCTGAGGGGAGACGTTCAGCACCATTGACTGGGTCTAGCTCCACATGAGTGCATGAGCATGCTTCCTGGTACAGAGGGGGCAAAGGTGAGAGATGTGGAATTGTTCTGCTCTCTGGTGAGATTTGTCCAAATGGCAGGAAATGAAAGAGAAATGAGGTGAGGTCAGAGCAAACGCTTCATTCTCACTTACTGTGAAGCTGTCTGTGTTCTGAGCAGAAGTGAAAAAGGCAGATTATAGAGAAGAAAGAGAAGAAGAGAAGACAGGTTTCACTTGAGGAAACATGGAAAGGTTTTGCCCTGGTTTGAATACCCTGGATCCATTTTTTTTTTTTACAGTTTGTGTTCTCTCCCTTTAATTGAATATAAAATCTTTACCAACAGGCTAGCCTGGATACACTACCAGAAGGGGGAAGAGCAGAATTTTGTTTCGTGGATGGCACTGCAGAGGCAGCTTGCTCTGCCCCTGAATGCCTCCCACACTCTGCTGCTACGCCCTTCTCTCCCCCTGGACAACTCGGGAGTGACATTTATGGGTTCCCAAAAGAAGCCATATCCAGCCTTTGCACAGCCACAAGGACACATCACAATGAAGGGCAGAAGTTTATCAGGAATTAGAGCATCTCCTACACAAAAAGCCCTTTTCCAACTGGCCTTTAAGCAAAAAACTCCCCAGGCTCTGGTGTCCCTAGCACACACTGCTGCTCTGTGCCATGCTTTAATGGAAAACATTAGAAATCATAAAGCAGCAGAAGTTGCCAGCACTCCTCGCAGGTCAGCAACTCTCACGGTTAACAATAGCTTGTGGTCTCTAATGACTCCTCCCGTTCCTCCCTGCATGTCAGTGGGCACTGAAGTCCATGGAGCGCAGACCCAGAACTCACCCTCAGCTCTACCCACTTGTCCAGCAGCCTCTTTTCATTGAATTCACACAGGAGGCCAGAAGAGGTGATGCAGAAAGTGCTGTCTGCTTTTTTACCCCGTCCACAGGCAACATCTGTGAAGAAATTGTTCCTCAGTTCCCCCAGCAAACCGGAGCGCCCTAGCAAGGGGACGGTGGCATTCACCTACCAAAAGAAATAACCTGTTAGAGAGAGAGAGAGAGAATCCAAGACAGCCCCCGCTCACTGCTTCTTATTCTGTCCCCAGCACTTACCTTGGAGGTTTTGCTGTCATCCAGGTACCAGAACTTGATGTGGCGGTTGCCAGCTGTGACGAAGTAACTGCAATCCTCTGAAAATGACACTGCTGTCACTTTGCTGGACACCTTGTTGGCTGCCACCACAATGTTTTTCTGGAAAGACAATTGTTTCAGTAGCTCAGGTGTCTTACCCAATACCTTTGTATAAAAAGGTTCACTTCAGCTACTGGTGTTATGCATGGCAGCCACAGATTCAAAGTCTGTCTGAACACAGGATGGGAGGATGAACCACCAGCTAAAAACCTTCTGCTACCAGAGCTGTCCCATCCATAGGATGGTCTGGGGTGGCTACCCCAGGACCCGTACTTTGGGGGCCCCCGCAATGGCTGCCTCAATCATCCAGTGGATGGGACCCACAGGGCTCAGACCAGCCTGAGGAATTAAATGGGGGTACTTGGCATGGAGCGGCAGCTGGGGGACAGCCCCCCTCACACTCTCTGTGGTGGCGGGAGCCAGAGCAACCCAACAGCTCTCTCTGCCCTGCCACCATCTCTCAGCCTGCTGTGCTCCACTTCACCAGGGTAGCGGGAAGTGGACATCCTGGCCCAGGCCCCACCCATTCCGCTCCCGAGTGATGCAGGGCTCAGGGGAGCAGAGGGACACAGGCTGGGGTGCTCTGCTTCCCACTGCTGTGCTGAACGCAGGGGGTCCAACCCCTGCTGCTACCCCACGCCAGGCCTTCCTGTAATCCCCTAAGTCACATAACTCAAGGGAGGGGGCACAAGGGGAAAGAAAAGGAGTGAAGCAGGGACAGGAAGAGGCAGGGTGGTTGCCCTGGGACCTATGCTCCAACCCCAGGGCCAGCTCTGTCCACTACTTATGGTGCTCTGGCAGTTTGGACATCATGCTTTTACATTCAGACCTGCTGCTACATTGTCTCAGCCACATAATGGTTCCTGTGTCACTTGTGCCTAGAGTAAAACGGTCATCTGCACCTTGGCTATTTCATAGTCCCAGGACACACAGAACAAAACAGACTTTCCATTCTAAACGCTGAAAGCACACGCAGGCCAACACTGGCTGGAGGTCTTCCAGTCCTCGGTCAGCAATGGGCATAGCACTTGGAATGGGCAGTAGGCACTTTCAACAGGAAAATACCATCAATCGCTGCCATGTCCCAGGCAGACAGAAGTCACAGGGCAAAACGAGAGGTGAACATGCTGCTTCTGGTCAGCCTCAGAGAAAAGAGACAAGAGCACCCACACCTGCTGTGATTCCTCTCTTCATGCACATGAAATAACCAAGGGAAGGGGGGAATGGAAAGGGGTATTTTCTGAGCATAATGATTAGATTGCAGGGGTTCCCTTTCCATCAGCATGGGGCAGGAATGTTACTTCCATGGGTTAGCAGCAGAGAGGAGATTCAAAGATCTTGCCACTCTCTTCTCTTGGATTGAAATTCTTGATCTATTTCCTGCAGTACTCAATGGTCAGCCAGCCACTCACTCTGATCAATGGTTCCATTCCCCATTCCTCTCTCACAAAGCCATAAGCCCCACTTCCCCCTTCTTTCCACTAGCAGCACTCCAAGCTACTCAGCCCTTGGCTCAGAAGCCATCTCACTTAGCTCAGATGCTCATTCCAGAAGCTTCTTGGAGATCAGCAGCAGAGCGCTGTCAGAGGTGCCAGGGACTGGAGAAAGCAAGCAGCACTCTCAAGCCCCAAACTCAGGGGCTTCTCCCCAAATAAACTAACAGGAAATGTTGCTGGAGCTCTTCCTGTCCTCAACACCTGGGCGGCTGCTGTGGCCTCTCTCCAGTTGGAAACTGGGGAGCACCTCAGACAACAGTTGGTTGCTTCAGCTTGACCAAACTTCTGGGTCATTCTCCCAGACTGGAGGATGGAGATATCACACCAGCCATTCCTATAACCCCATGCCTGAGAAACGATGGCCTTTTGGTTGCCCTGTGACTTGGGAGATCTGGGTTCAGTTCCTGACTCCGTCACTGACTGCCCCTGTAACTTTGGGCAAGAATTCTGGAAGACGTGCTTGAGCCAAACAAGTCACAGGGCTCAACACAAGAGTAACAGGGTGAAGTTTAATGGCCTGTGATGACCTAGAGGTCCCTTCTGGCTTGACCATCTTGGGCCTTGCACAATGTATCTTTTCCGACCATTAAACTGATCTTCTTGCACACTTACCTTCCATGACCACACGTTGACAATCATGTCATGCTGGTACCCCACTGAAACAATGTACTTGGAGCTGGGGGAGAATGCCACACAGGCCACGCCATATTTGTGTTCTTGGAGCTCCGCCACCTGGGTGCGTTCAGCCACGTCCCACACGCGAACGGCTGGCATGTGCCCACTCTGAAGGGGTGAGTCAGAGACAAAGAGCAGTGATAAGGCTAGTTGTGATGGATTCAAATATGCAACATCCCCACACATTTTCCCCAAGCACACATAGCTTGGAAGTCAATCCAGCATTAGAGCATCACACAACCTTTGGATGTTCTTTGGCTGTTTGCAACAGAAGACACAAGTGTAATGAATTTGCTGATTTAAGTAGATAACTGAACAGGGTAATATTAAATTAAAACCCAAGACAAGAGAGTGAATCAATATTTTCCACACACACATAGCTTGGAAGTCAATCCAGCACTAGAGCACAGCTCAACCTTTGGATGTTCTTTGGCTTGTTTGCAACAAGTGTAATGAATTTGCTGATTTAAGTAGATAACTGAACAGGGTAATATTAAATTAAAACCCAAGACAAGAGAGTGAATCAATATTTTCCACACATCTGTTTTCTGCAATGGAAACTAGTAACTCATAGTGACACTTAGAGGTCCCAATAGCTAGGTGTTCACACCACAAAAACTTGACACCGTCACATTCGTTCACAATTTCTTTACAGAAGACCACAGGAAATCAGCAGTCTTCCCTTTTCCAAAGGTAGCCACTCCACACTAGATTTGAAGTGCATAGGAAGAGCTGTGTTTGGGGGAAACGTACTCCTCTTCTTGCTGCTTTTGTTTTGTGGATAAACAGTCTCTTCAGATGTCAATGCAGCATCTTTTGCCAACACTAAAGCTGACCCCCTCACACTCTCTGTGGTGGTGGGAGCCAGAGCAACCTAACAGCTCTCTCTGCCCTGCCACCATCTCCCAACCTGCTGTGCTCCACTTCACCAGGGTAGCGGGAAGTGGACACCCTGGCCCAGTCCCCACCCATTCCGCTCCCCTGAGTGATGCAGGGCTCAGGGGAGCCGAGGGACACAGGCTGGGGCGCTCTGCTTCCCATTGCTGTGGTGAACGCAGGGGGTCCAACCCCTGCTGCTACCCCACGCCAGGCCTTCCTGTAATCCCCTAAGTCACATAACTCGAGGGAGGGGGTGCAAGGGTAAAGAGGAGTGAAGCAGGGACAGGAAGAGGCAGGGTGGTTGCCCTGGGACCTATGCTCCAACCCCAGGGCCAGCTCTGTCCACTACTTATGGTGCTCTGGCAGTTTGGACATCATGTTTTTACATTCAGACCTGCTGCTACATTGTCTCAGCCACATAATGGTTCTTGGGTCACTTGTGCCTAGAGTAAAACAGTCATCTGCACCTTGGCTATTTCATAATCCCAGGACACACAGAACAAAACAGACTTTCCATTCTAAACGCTGAAAGCACACGCAGGCCAACACTGGCTGGAGGTCTTCCAGTCCTCGGTCAGCAATGGGCATAGCACTTTCAACAGGAAAATACCATCAGTCGCTGCCATGTCCCAGGCAGACAGAAGTCACAGGGCAAAACGAGAGGTGAACATGCTGCTTCTGGTCAGCCTCAGAGAAAAGAGACAAGAGCACCCACACCTGCTGTGATTCCTCTCTTCATGCACATGAAATAACCAAGGGAAGGGGGGAATGGAAAGGGGTATTTTCTGAGCATAATGATTAGATTGCAGGGGTTCCCTTTCCATCAACATGGGGCAGGAATGTTACTTCCATGGGTTAGCAGCAGAGAGGAGATTCAAAGATCTTGCCACTCTCTTCTCTTGGATTGAAATTCTTGATCTATTTCCTGCAGTACTCAGTGGTCAGCCAGCCACTCACTCTGATCAATGGTTCCATTCCCCATTCCTCTCTCACAAAGCCATAAGCCCCACTTCCCCCTTCTTTCCACCAGCAGCACTCCAAGCTACTCAGCCCTTGGCTCAGAAGCCATCTCACTTAGCTCAGATGCTCATTCCAAAAGGCTTCTTGGAGATCAGCAGCAGAGCGCTGTCAGAGGTACCAGGGACTGGAGAAAGCAAGCAGCAACTCAAGCCCCAGACTCAGGGGCCTGTTGTACAATCTGACAACCAAACTGAAACAGATTCCTGGTGTGTGAAGGTTCCTACTCCCACTTCCACAACCTTAGTTTGAATCAGCTTCCAGCAGTTGTCTGGAAAAAACACAGACTCTGACAAAACAGAATAGCCTTCCGACTGGCCAGGAAGCTGTCACATATTGTTGGGAACACTCTTGCACTGGCTCCTTAAGGATGGTCTAGATGATACAGTAGGTCCCTTCCATCTCCAACCTGTCTGATTTTATTAACATCAAAAGGAGCAGCAAGTGAAGGAGCTATACATAGATTTATCCCCAGACCATCTTGGGCCTTGCACAATGTATCTTTTCCGACCATTAAACTGATCTTCTTGCACACTTACCTTCCATGACCACACGTTGACAATCATGTCATGCTGGTACCCCACTGAAACAATGTACTTGGAGCTGGGGGAGAATGCCACACAGGCCACGCCATATTTGTGTTCTTGGAGCTCCGCCACCTGGGTGCATTCAGCCACGTCCCACACGCGAACGGCTGGCACGTGCCCACTCTGAAGGAGTGAGTCAGAGACAAAGAGCAGTGATAAGGCTAGTTGTGATGGATTCAGATATGCAACATCCCCACACATTTTCCCAAGCACACATAGCTTGGAGGTCAATCCAGCACTAGAAGACAGCTCAACCTTTGGATGTTCTTTGGCTGTTTGCAGCAGAAGTCACAAGTGTAATGAATTTGCTGATTTAAGTAGATAACTGAAAAGGTTAATATTAAATTAAAACCCTAGACAAGACAGTGAATCAATAATTTTCCACACATATCTGTTTTCTGCAATGGAAACTAGTAACTCATAGTGACATTTAGTGGTCCCAACAGCTAAGTGTTCACACCACGAATGTAATGGTGTCAAGTTTTTGTTCACAATTTCTTTACAGAAGACCACAGGAAATCAGCAATCTTCCCTTTTCCAAAGGTAGCCACTCCACACTAGATTTGAAGTGCATAGGAAGAGCTGTGTTTGGAGGAAACGTACTCTTCTTCTTGCTGCTTTTGTTTTTTGGATAAACAGTCTCTTCAGATGTCAACGCAGCACCTTTTGCCAACACTAAAGCTCTGTGTACACTTAAAAGTTTAAAGTGCAGCTGTGGCAGCACTTCAAACTGAAAGTATGGTCACCCCACGAGCACTGGGAGAGAGCTTTCCTAGTGCTCTGTGTAAACCACCTCTGCAAATGGAGTAACTACCAGCCGTAGACCGGTTCACATTGGCATGTTACAGAACTGTAACTTGCTGCGCTCGGAGGTGAGGGGGAATGTTTTTCACATCCCAAGCCAGAAAGTTACAGCACTGTCAAGTGCCAGTGTAGACTTGGACTTAGTGTTCCTGAAAAATCATTTATATTGTTAGTTATTTAAAAGTGAAAGAGCAAGTACAAGACAGGCAGAAGTCCTTGCCAACTACATGATTAATAGGCAAACCTTGCTCAACAGCTTCCTCAGGATATCACATCCTGTCAAAAAGTAGCTTGCAAGATAGGATCTCCATGGCAACAAAGCAAAGTGGTTATCTTTTCCAGTAAGGGTGAAGCAAGTCACTTGCTCATGTGCAGGGATGACATGCTTGATTGAAAATCTAAGCCTCAGAAACATGAACACATTTAATGGACTTGTTTTGCAGCTTTTACCTACAGTACAAATGGCCTGGAAAAGCACAGTGGTCAGATTTTAATTTATTCAAGCTCAGCTTTCACCCAGTTGACAGAGTTCTGTCCTCAAGGTTACAGTCAAGATGGTACAAAAGTCAATACAGTTACCCTGCAAAACCCTCACACTAGGTAAGTAACCAACCTCTAGATCTTCAGCCCCCAGAGACTTTAACAAATTGAATACACTTTAAATAATTGAACGGATGCTACCAGCAGTGAGCTCTATCAACTCCCACGGGACAAGCAATTTATTCCTATATGGAAAGCCTCCATCTCCTCAGCATTTGAGACACTCAGACCAGAGCTAACACATACAGAGGGATGAGACTCTGTTCTCACGCAAGAAAACCCAGCCATGCACCAATTTAGAGTCATTAGGCAGAATCAGTGCACTTATTCTGCAAGATTTAGACTTCACAAGCTAAACACTCTTCAGTCACCTGTCACCAGGCAACTGCAGAACTTCCAGGGCAGCAGGGGGGTTTAGACTTAGTGCTGCTACCAGGAGGTGGCGCTACAGGACAAGACAAACACTCAAAATTAATGTTTTTGAGAAGACACATAGAAATAGCTGTAAGGGGTGTCAAAAAGGTAAATTACACACTGTAAAACAACTCATGAAATAAAAATGTATCATTTTAATGCAATTTCTACTGTTGTTCTTCAGCAAAAAGTTTCCGATAAAAAAGCTGTGTGTTATGTCAGTAGGAAAATAATCTTTACATTTTTAATTATGCTCTTCCACTCCTCAAGGGTAGGGGGAAGCGAGGAGTAAAATTGGTGTTTTACCCACCAAATTTTTTTAAGGATTTCAACAAAAAAAAAAAAAAAGTCTGAATTTTCATTTTGAAAATTTTCATTTAAAAATGAAACTTCCACCAAAACAAAAATTATTTTGTTCCAAAAACAAACCCAAGAGGATAATTTTGAGCCAGCTCTGCTCTGTAGGTATAAACCCCACTGGTAAGTGTCTGTTACAGGTCCTCCTTTGTGTCTGATCCATAAGAGAGAAGTCTGTCACAGCCCAGCTAACAGGCTAACTTCACCAGGCTAACTTGGTCAACACACTGGATATTGAACCAGGGACATCAAGAGCTAAAAGCATGAGCTTGAGCCAGAATGCTCCCGCTGAGCCTGTAACACACTAGTGCAGGGTGAATAACTGATTTTCAGTTTAAGGGATAATAAAAAAAAATCCTCCATATTTGTCAGGGCCACCCAAAACTGCAAGCATTAGATTTTCTTACTGAAGTGAAAAAAACTCGGAGGGAGGGGAATCATTTCAAGTTAAAATATTTAATTCAAGCTGAAATGAAATATTTCACAATAGGGTGTTTTACCCTTTTGTAGTTTTTTTAATTAAATATAGATTCATTTCAAAATGAAATGTTGTTTTGAAGCAAAGAATCAAATGTTCTGACTTTTTCAGAATTTTCTTCCCTTTTTTTGCTCTGAAACCATTAGATAAATTTGACTCAACCCTGCATTTTTCAGTTTGACAAAAACAATTTGCCTAGTTCTACTCATATCCTCCAAGAACTGGGCACAAGAGAGGGACTGGTGACACACATTCACCAGTAAGTTACAACACACTGGAGTTGGATGACAAGTAGTCAGAGACGACGAGAGCAAGCTGAGCATGATCCAAAGGGGACAGGGTGACATTTGTGTGTGTTTCTAGCATCTAACAACTGCAAATTCATTACATGTACAGTATGTACCTTGCACTTCTAACAAAGCACAGACCCCACAATACAGTCATCACTCTTCTCTCTTTGAGCACCTGCTGCCAACAACAATGCATGAACTGCCAAACCCGTAAGCACTGGCCCCTTTATCACTACTCTGCAAGCTCCCACTCTTTACTACATTGTAACAATCTTGGTTCACTCCCTGAAATCCTATGGGATACAACCCTAAACTCAATCCAGCCACGAGAAACTTCCTGTCCCCATCCCTTCCTTGCTCTTTCCCCTATGTCAATAGGTGTAGCGGAGTCAAATATCCTCAGCTAATCTCCATCTTGTCCTTGGCACAAGGAGTCTCTTCCAGGAGATTCACTTGCCTCAATCTGTGCAGAGGAAACGTTTGGAAAATCTTCCCATATGAGCTCAAGGAGACAACCAGTACCGAGTTAGGATGATGCTCAGATAAATCAGTGAGCAAGAGCCAAAACCACATTTCCCCATATACAGGCAGTATAGAGGCACAGTTAAGATCTCTCTTTGGACATCCTTTGGGCCAAAACCCTGCCAAAAAGGATAAACGATTTAATGAAACCTAAGGCCCCACGCCACACTTCTCCTCACACACAGCCCATTTTCCTCTCTACAGCAGCCACACTTCTTCCCAGTCTGCAATGGGATGGCCTGCAGACATGTCCCTGTTTGAAACAATTTTCAACACTTACCTCTCCAGTAACCAAGTACTTTCCATCAGGGGAGAAAGCAAGAGCTGTGATCGTCTTCCTAAAAAAGAGACAGGAGAACACTGAAGTGGTGCCTGTATCCAATTACACTTTAGTCTACCATGAGTGGGGAAGGTGAGCAGATGTCTCCATATTTTTGAAACTGTCCCAATATTAGGGGCTTTGTCTTATATAGGACCTACTATCCTCCATCCTGTTCCCATGCGTCACACTTGCCATCTGGTCACCCTGGGGCAGGAAGGTGGGATGACTGAGAAGAGGTTCATAGCACATGCAATAACTTGCCAATAGCTTTGTTTCTCCCCAGGTTGAACACTTGCATTCCCTGCAGCTCAAACTCTTTCACTGGGTCTGCAGCACAGAAAGGGTTCTACAGCTACGGGCGTATGGAACTCTGACACCTGCTTGCCAACTAGACAAGTCAGTCAGTCCGGGTCCAAACTAGGGCTACACCTCAGGGAAAGAATAATTCAAGCCCAACAGAGTTCAAGTAAAACATCCTCCACGGAATGTAGTATTTATGAGATTCTCCCTAGCGATCATGGATAAAACCTTCTCCTCTAGGGCACAGACAGTAGTCCCATGCCAGTGACTCTTGCTTGGGGGAGTTTAGGACTCAGGGAGCACTGGGCGCCACTCCCCAGCAGCGCTTATAGTTCACTAGAGCCAGAAAAAGGACTCCCAAATTCAACTCTCCATTAACACAAGGCCAGCTGTCTGCGTATCTCTGAGCTTCACTCACCTGGAGCTGTTTACAATGTGATGTTGCTTATTTTTCCTAGGGTTGAAGAGCACAACGACACACCTAAAAGGAGAGGACAAAACAAAAAAAAAAAGACGTTGACAGACCAGCCTCCGGGTATCACAATGTGTTCTATCCCCTCGTCCTTGGCAAAAGGAGAAAGGGCAGCCTGGCACATCTGTCCCACCCCTACCCAACTAGCTGGAAAACACAAAGGGAGGTTGGGGGATCATAACAAATCATTCCGCTGTGGAATGCCATAAATAATCACCTTTCCAGAAGCTCTGAATCTCTTACAACTCACAAGCCAGAAAGAAAGGAAGGTCAGTTAGGAACGTCAATGCGGCTGCCCCATGATTCTGTCCCTTCTCCTCAGATACAAGTGATCCTACATTCTGGGCACATGAGCAGTTCAGATTCTGCCCTCCTCTTGTCCCTGTACCTCCACCCAGGCCCTGAATGTCAGGGCAATGACTGGGACTAGCTCAGCATGGCCCCAGACAGGAATAATCATTGTGTGGCATGGCTCTTGCTAATAGCACAGACAAGACAGAAAAGGCCTCAGTTTGGACCAAAAGAATGTTAGCCAGAAAACAAGAGGCACGGTGCAAGAGCCCACTCGCTTGGAAGACAAATGAAAAAATAATTAGCTTCCTCTAGGGCTGTCAAGAAATCAGCCAGCAGGAGATATCTAGAAACAAACAGTGGTGACCATCTCCCCTTGATAATCAATATACATTATATATAATCACCTCCACCACTAGCTTAAGGTCCACCAATCTGGAGTAGCAGGAAAGGGGAAATTCCCCCTAAGATTACTGACAAAGCCAGGAGTCTCACCCTTAGTGTGTCTTGACAACTGCTGCCACACAAGACTGGGTATGTCCAGGATACATTCTTTCCCCTTCCCCACCCTCCACCAGTGAAAAACCCTCAGGATCATTTTCAACACAGGACAGAAATGAACACATCTCTGCCAGGGCCTCATCACATAACATAGGAGCAAAGGAACCAACCCAGTGAAAAGTCAGGCTCTCAGAATCAAAAGGCTTGCTACTGTCCAGGAAATATGACAATTCTTAGCAATAAGATGATCCTCCTTCTCAACTGGAGAGCAATTCATTCCCTGCATGGAACTGTGCTAACAGCACCTTTAAAGAACTTGTGACGCGGCAGGGCAGCTCCCGAGAACTGCACTTCTTTCTTCCCCCTCTGAATTCCCCTCACTTGGTCTGACAGGGCTGCATGCCAGGAGCAGTGCAAGTTATGAAATGGAATAGACACCATCAAAAGGTGCAGACACTCCAACACCACAGGCCCATGGCTGCTGCCTGATGCTGTTGTACTCAATCAACATCACTGCCTCAAAGCAGACACACGCCACCATAGCTCACTGAAGCTTTAACCTCTAACTAACCAAGCTTGCAAATCATCAGCTTCCTCTGTTCCTTCCAGTGCAAGTTGCCACTCAATGTTTTCCTCCAAAGGTAGCCTGTGTGGCTTCTACACATTCTAGCCATGCCCAAGTAAAATACATCTGCTGTTCTGATCATACAGGCATGCACCAACATTCACTGGTCTATTAGTGGGGCAGTTCTAATGGTACAGGTAACCTGGGCAACCAGCAGTGAAAGTGTTTTAAGTGATTAAGAGTAAAAAGCACAGAAGGATCTAATTTAACCTGACCAGTCACACCAGTTTCAAGTCTGATCTACTCGCTTTGATTTCCACAGAATGTAAAGAAAGTAGGTGGTCTGTGACCCATTAACAATTCAGGGACAGTTAAGCCCTCATATTATGAGCCATGAAACAGTACATAAGCAGATGGGAAAATCCACCTAATCCTCAGCTTCCAGCCAATCAGAAAAACAAGAGAGAAATCCCACTGTACGAAGCAAGATAGGCTTAATGGACCAAAGTCATCCCTTGTGCAACGCAGAATTATACCCTGGAGAATTTTGGGTCCATTACGCTTTGGAGAACATTATGGAGAATTGAAGGTAAATGTGATATCCAGGTAGAATCACTTCTATGCAGCAGGTTTTAAGGTATTAAGTTCCTTTGTGTTATATGGCTAAGGACATTTACTTGAAAACAGGACCTTTGGGTATGTTCATACCTAAGCTACTACAGTGGCTACAGGGTGTCAGTGTAGACACCACCTATGCCAACAGGAAGGGTTCTCCCACTCACACATGTAATCCATCTCCCTGAGACATGGTAGCTAGTTTGATGGAAGATTAGCACTTTTTACACCAGGCATTAGGCCAGCATACCTACATTTCTCAGCTAGGTGCATTTTTCATGCCCCCTGAAGGTATAGCTATGAAATTCTAAGTGTATACTAGTCCTTTGCGTTTTCTCTAAGAAACAATCTAAAAATTAAAGACATGCAAGAACACAGCATGATCTAAGAACCAAGCAGGCAAATCAATAAATAAAGCATTTCCGAGAATAGACCAGTAAATGGGTGGGATCCTGGATTTTGCTGTTATTCTTAACCTATGCAACTGAGCCTGTAGTTATTTACGAACAACCTTAGGTCTTAGACCTCCAGAGGAGGCTATTCCCAGAGATTCTCTCTGCAGAACTTCCTGGCTGCTCCTTCTAACTCTTTTCCCTCAGAGAGGCTCAAACTCCTATGCTGAGGCAGCTGCTAACGAGTCCCGCCATCATGCCAGCCGGCTAGACAGTCAGCCAAATTGTTCCTGACCTTCCTACAAGGTTTTAACACCTAATAGGCAGTCACAAGCAGATTTTTTAAAAATAACTCCTAAGTGTATCCATCAAAATATGTGAGCACATACTCCCACCACACATACCCCACGGCCAGTTAGAAAGGAACACGGCATATCTTGTGCTACACTGCCAGAGGGCTGAATTGCACAAACGCTGTATTTCATGACAGTCCTGTCACACTGTTATAAAGACTCCACCCAACTTTTAGGCTGTTTTAACCAACAATGCAAATGAACTGAAGTTCATTATATGGCAGTGATGCATGTTACAAACACAAGCCTGGGAGCCAGAAAGTCCTGCATTCTCATCTGGCTCTCATTCTGAATCTTGCTGCAGCCTTAGGAACTTCTCTAGCCCCCCTCTACACTGGATTGCTGCATCCTTTCAAAAGGGTAAAAGTTGCAGTTAAAAGAATAATGAGTAAAGTGGCCACTGTGGCTACATTTACCTAGTTTCTGCTACCTGGCTCACTCTGTCTCCACACTGCAGTCCCTCCAACCCTAGGAGCACAGCATGTTGCAGTTTTGCTGAAGACCGTGTTCAAATGTCTGCCGGTGACAGGGGAGGGATCACGTGAGGATTACCTGTTCTGGTTCCCTCCCTCTGGGCCTGGGGCATCTGGTATTGGCCACTGTCGGCAGACAGGATACTGGGCTAGATGGACTTTTGGTCTGATCCAGTATGGCCGTTCTTATGTTCTTCAACAGCTTCCCAAAGCAGGGTTTGTGGAGAGCCTATAAAGTACTCAGTGACTGTGCAATCTACTAATAAAATACATTGCTCAAGTCAATACAGGAAAATAGAAATTGCTATACGATGACAGATCACTGGTCCACCATAAGATGACCTGGTCATCATTAATCCTGAGATATATCATTCAAGTTTGCCCTAATGAATTTCACTTTGTCAATAGTTCACAACAAGCTTCCATCTAGCATTCAGCATGTTTCATTTTTGTAAGATTCTGTTTGCTCAGTATTCTGCTACCAGTGGATGGAAAAATAGTGTTGATATTTTCCACACTTCATCCCCACTTCAGTTGGGTCAAGTCTATCAAACCATCACTTTTTCTAGTGCCCTTATCAGTTTCTGCTGATATTTCTCTCTGACATTTAAAAAAAAAATTCCCTAACAATTATATTTCTGAGGAAGACTTTCTACATGTGTCCCTCTGAAAGCTCACAGACACAGAGAAAACAAACAATAGATCTGAAATGCACTGTTTCCATGCAATGGAAGACTTACTCCACTGTCTGATGATTGTTTAAAAGGTCAACATTATTAACTAGCTCACTGATGATCATTTTAGCAGAAGTATTCAGCCACTCGACAACTGTGGGTGGCATTTACACAGATTAACTACATCACCTTCTCCTCCCAGTTTGAACACTGGTTTGATGTCAGAACCATTTATGAAACTATTTACTGCTGAGTGGCAACATTATTGCTGCCTACGTTGTGCCCCAACCAACTGGGTATCTAGCTTCTTTGCTGACTGGTTCCTAAGAACCGATTTTATTTCTAGGGCTAGGGCCTTACCATTCCTAGCAGCAACATGTAACCATGAACTTTGGCTTTAAAACAAAGAAATCAAAAAGTGCTTTGGAATAAAAAAGGTGTTATTTTGACACCTTGTTTTTTTCCAAAGGAGCCCTCATGTGAGGTAGTAATTGGTTCTTGAGGCACAGAAGAGTTGATACATCTCCATCACCAACAGGCCCTCTTGGAAGTCTCTTCCAGAGCCGCTGGACTTTCACCAGCAGAGATGGCAGGGAGCCACTTTGGAGTTGCTGGTGTGTAAGTGGGAGAGGCTGAGGCTGTTTATCGCCAACGTGCTGCCAAAAAACTCTCCAGACCTATTTGCATTGTGCACATTCTATGTGTACTGGGGATCAGTGCAAAAGAGGGTTATCATGAAATCTCCAGAGAAGAAACAGGCAGCTTTGGCAAAGGGAAAAAACAAAGAAGCCGTTTCCTCAGGTTAAATTTAGGAGTGGACTGGAAAGGAACCAGACGTCACTATCTCATTTACACACAGCATCTGACTCACCAAGTCACCAGCATTCCCCTACACACGCATACCATCTCCTCCCCCCATAAACATACACACATTTCTTCTTACTCTGCTCCTACCAGTCACACTTCTTTTTCTTCTTCCCAAATCCCAGTCTCCCTCCGTATTTCATTTCCTTCTCGTTATCCTCACATCTGTTCCCTAGCCATCTCTCTAGTCTCTGCTGCTGCCCCTTTTCCCAATTCTTCCCATTATTCCCCAAACTAATACAAAGCAGATTTCTGCAAGAAATCCATTTTCTTCCTCCTTC